TGTAGAACACATGGCATTCTCCCAATACTCATGTCCAATGTCACGTTAAAACCTTTGGCTTTCCCGGTGAGTTTTTGTTGAAAGAAAAGCAAACAACATGAGCAACCAGCCAAACTTTGGGCAGGCCACACATGCTAACAAAAGTTTTGTGCTTGTTTATCTTATTCAATTAGGCACAAACCCTTTAGGAAGCAATCCTCAGGAATTCCTCTGGTTTACAATGAGCTTGACAACAAACACAACAGATCTATGAAAATAGTCCAACAGCTTGAAGCTCACCTGAAGCACTACAATCGGTGACACATTCATAAAGAGTGGGAAGTTCTATGAAGTAGTATCTTCAACCATTGGTAAGACATATTGGACTGCTATGGAGATTTCAAATGCTTGAAATATACTGTTTCACATGGGAGAATTCCTGACATCGATGTAAACAGTCCTTTCAGAGCACTAAAACTTGAGCGCCCTGTGGAAGTTTCTATACATGTTGTGATGGATCACTTGCTGGCCAACTCTGACATCTGGTTAATTTCAGACCTCAGCCACGAATCACTTGATACAGACTTCACATTAAGTTTTAATACATAGTTACATGTTTGCAATATGAAAATAATGAAAAAACAATTTATTATTTTGTTTTACACGTATCTTAGTAAAAATACCAAGAGGTAAGATGCACAAAGAAGAAATGACAATGTCAAGGTTGATTTGAAGTTAAATATTTATTGACAAAATCAAGCAACATTAAATTGATTGTTTGTATATAAATAGGGTAGGCCCCATGGCCACACGAAAATAATTTTGTCTGATCTCAGGAATGAATGAGTGGAGTAGTACAGTGCACAACATCTACCTGCTGCCAAACAGATTATTGCGGGCACTCCCGATAGACATTGCTAATTTTCATGCAACACCAGATATAAATCGTCACAATGTGCATCAAGCTCAAAACAGTGTATGCTTTACTTGAAATTGTTGCTCAAATACACTTTTGATCTGTCGCAGAATGCAAACAAACATGTTTGAAAAGAGAATAAAGCATACGATCACTCTCATTTTTGTATTGTAGTAATACAAGCATTGTGGCATTACAAAGGTTCAGAGCATCAACAGCAAACAACACATTCTGCTGAAACATCATCAATTATGTGTTCACTGTGAGCATCATCACATTGTTGTCACTTACAACCTTGAAAATTGTCCTACAAATGAGAGTAGCCCCTCTTGGACCAAGTGGCCAGTTGTTTGAAATCAAACAATAGTTATCATTGTTTATAATTCTACCTCTATCACATCATAGCCATAAATTCCTGTTTGGCTGTCAATCACACTGTAAAATTATTTAAATTTTCAACATAAGTCCCCTTCACTTCCAACATATCTAATAGTGGTGAGGATAACCCTATCCTTTGCAGGAAGGGCAACTGTGCATGCACAAGGCAGGACAACATCACTTCTTTCAACCCTTTCAACCATAATTCTCATACACTAGATGCAGATTATAAGGGAGGTGGGAGGGACTAATTCCTGATGTAATAGAGGTAGTAGTCTTAGAATTATACACAATGATAGCTATTGTTTGATAATTCCTTCGAATACCCTACCTCTATTACATCATAGCCAAATACACCAGAGGGACCAGTGGGAACTGACATCTAGTATCCCTTGATAGTTGTCAGCAGTGAAATGGGAAAAGAGCTGAAGTATATTGCCTGATATTTGTTCTAGATTTACTAGATTGGCATACAGATTACGTCACTCCTTTTACTATGACATCAATGTTTCGAAACCATGCAGTGGTATATGTCATATCCTGACGTTACTTCCGGTTCTGACATCACTTCTTCTGAAGTCACTCTATGACATCACTTCCGGTTCTGTCGATACTTTCTGACATCACTGTCGGTTCCGAGTGAGTGAGAGAGTGAGTGAGTGAGTATGGTTTTACGCCACTTTTAGCAATATTCCAGCAGTATTACAGCGGGGGCACACCAGAAATGGGCCTTGCACATTGTACCCATGTCGGGAACTGAACCCAGGTCTTCGGCATGACAAGCAAACGCTTTAACCACTAGGCTACCCAACCGCCCCTATCGGTTCTGAAGTTCACTATGACGTCACTTCTGGTTTTATATCTCTTACGACCTCACTTCTTGTTTGTATTACGAGTGACTTCTTCTGTCCAACATAATATCGACCCTTACCACTTCTAGTTCTCATAGATAGGGAAAAGTGAAGCGGTGAAGAACTCAGTGTAGAACACATGGCATTCTCCCAATACTCATGCCCAATGCCACGTTAAAAGCTTTGGCTTTTCCGTTCAGTTTTTTGTTGAAAGAAAAGCAAACAACATGGGCAACTAGCCAAACTTTGGGCAGGCCACACATGCTAACAAAGGTTTTGTGCTTGTATATTTTATTTAATTAGGCACAAACCCTTTAGGAAGCAATCCTCAGGAATTCCTCTAGTTTACAATGAGCTTGACAATATAACACAAGTATATTGCCTGATATTTATCCTAGATTCACTAGATTGGCATATTATTACGTCACTCCTTTTTCTATGACATCAATGATTCTAAACCTTGCAGTGGCATATGTCGTATCCTGATGTACTTCCTCTTTTGACGTTACTTCATCTGAAATCACTCTATGACATCACTTCCGGTTTTGTCGATACTTTCTGACATCACTGTCGGTTCTGAAGTTCAACGTAACTTCTAGTTCTCAAAGATATGATGTCAGTCCCTACTTTTGACGTCAACTTCTTCTTCTCATCAGTTATATTTATCATATTTTGATGTTATGACGGTGTAAAGTCTGAAAGTATACCCCCCCCCTTCAAAGTATACCCGGGGGTTAATTCAGGGGGCTTGCAGAATCTACCCCCCTTTCCCAGAATCAACCCCCGGGGTATAATCTGGGAGCTCCCAGAATATACCCTGGGTTATAATTGAGATTGTTGTCAGAACCGGAGGTCAGTACAATGATATCATGTAGAAACCTTATATAACTTATATCCTAAACGATCTATGATTTCCATGTTAACCAATGATATGACTGTGCACTGGTAGGCTGTTTTAAAGGTCAACTTACCTTGATTTGGGTCTGTCCTAGAAAGATAGGAATCCCCTGAAAGATGAAGAAGGGGAGGCAGGGCTACTGGGTAACTATCACCAAAACAGGTCCCAGTGAGAATAGTCCCTCAAGATTGGTCTGACTGTTACTTGTTCCATGGAGTTCCTACTAGCAAGGCTTGTTGCTACAGCTCTGATCTCATGAGCTCTGCAGTTTCTCCATGTTGGTGTGAAAATTTGTGCCTGGCCATACCTGTCTGCTGTGGTGGTTTTCAGCCAGCCATATCCTTTTCTGATGAAGGGACTAATTCCTGATGTAATAGAGGTAGTAGTCTTAGAATTATACACAATGATAGCTATTGTTTGATAATTCCTTCGAATACCCTACCTCTATTACATCATAGCCAAATACACCAGAGGGACCAGTGGGAACTGACATCTAGTATCCCTTGATAGTTGTCAGCAGTGAAATGGGAAAAGAGCTGAAGTATATTGCCTGATATTTGTTCTAGATTTACTAGATTGGCATACAGATTACGTCACTCCTTTTACTATGACATCAATGTTTCGAAACCTTGCAGTGGTATATGTCATATCCTGACGTTACTTCCGGTTCTGACATCCCTTCTTCTGAAGTCACTCTATGACATCACTTCCGGTTCTGTCGATACTTTCTGACATCACTGTCGGTTCCGAGTGAGTGAGAGAGTGAGTGAGTGAGTATGGTTTTACGCCACTTTTAGCAATATTCCAGCAGTATTACAGCGGGGGCACACCAGAAATGGGCCTTGCACATTGTACCCATGTCGGGAACTGAACCCAGGTCTTCGGCATGACAAGCGAACGCTTTAACCACTAGGCTACCCAACCGCCCCTATCGGTTCTGAAGTTCACTATGACGTCACTTCTGGTTTTATATCTCTTACGACCTCACTTCTTGTTTGTATTACGAGTGACTTCTTCTGTCCAACATAATATCGACCCTTACCACTTCTAGTTCTCATAGATAGGGAAAAGTGAAGCGGTGAAGAACTCAGTGTAGAACACATGGCATTCTCCCAATACTCATGCCCAATGCCACGTTAAAAGCTTTGGCTTTTCCGTTCAGTTTTTTGTTGAAAGAAAAGCAAACAACATGGGCAACTAGCCAAACTTTGGGCAGGCCACACATGCTAACAAAGGTTTTGTGCTTGTATATTTTATTTAATTAGGCACAAACCCTTTAGGAAGCAATCCTCAGGAATTCCTCTAGTTTACAATGAGCTTGACAATATAACACAAGTATATTGCCTGATATTTATCCTAGATTCACTAGATTGGCATATTATTACGTCACTCCTTTTTCTATGACATCAATGATTCTAAACCTTGCAGTGGCATATGTCGTATCCTGATGTACTTCCGCTTTTGACGTTACTTCATCTGAAATCACTCTATGACATCACTTCCGGTTTTGTCGATACTTTCTGACATCACTGTCGGTTCTGAAGTTCAACGTAACTTCTAGTTCTCAAAGATATGATGTCAGTCCCTACTTTTGACGTCAACTTCTTCTCATCAGTTATATTTATCATATTTTGATGTTATGCCGGTGTAAAGTCTGAAAGTATACCCCCCCCCCCCCCTTCAAAGTATACCCGGGGGTTAATTCTGGGGCCTTGCAGAATCTACCCCCCTTTCCCAGAATCAACCCCCGGGGTATAATCTGGGAGCTCCCAGAATATACCCTGGGTTATAATTGAGATTGTTGTCAGAACCGGAGGTCAGTACAATGATATCATGTAGAAACCTTATATAACTTACATCCTAAACGATCTATGATTTCCATGTTAACCAATGATATGACTGTGCACTGGTAGGCTGTTTTAAAGGTCAACTTACCTTGATTTGGGTCTGTCCTAGAAAGATAGGAATCCCCTGAAAGATGAAGAAGGGGAGGCAGGGCTACTGGGTAACTATCACCAAAACAGGTCCCAGTGAGAATAGTCCCTCAAGATTGGTCTGACTGTTACTTGTTCCATGGAGTTCCTACTAGCAAGGCTTGTTGCTACAGCTCTGATCTCATGAGCTCTGCAGTTTCTCCATGTTGGTGTGAAAATTTGTGCCTGGCCATACCTGTCTGCTGTGGTGGTTTTCAGCCAGCCATATCCTTTTCTGATGAAGGCTTGCAGGAGATAAATAGGCATTTTCACTACTGTCTGTGGTCTTGAGTGGCTGGGATGTAATATCTCAAGGCTTTTATAGGACATAGTAGTCTGTCCGGATAGTCCACACTTTTACTTAATGCTGGTATCCTGTATTCCTGTGGCTAAAGAGACCAAATGCTGATGACTGATTGATATGAGTGTTATTGTGCTCCAGTCTTGTTTGTGCGTTATTGATGAAATATCAATGGCATGTACCCCTGATACACAAGCCACAGTGGACATAACAATGGAGAAAATCTGTTTTCTTTGAAGCTATCGGTAATATAGCATTGTTGATGGGTTCATAAGGAGGCTCCATCAATGCTGACAATATGATTGACAAATTCTGTTTTGGAAATGTATGTGTTATTTTAATATCTTCAAGTGCAAAAGACTTCATGAGTAGGGTGAGTACCTAAAGAGAAATCATCATGTTGTAAAACTGAGGCGAGAGCTGATCGGTAGCCTTCAGTGGGGCCATGTCTGAAATTCTTATCCTTTCTGAGATGGAGTAAGAAATCAACAACTTTAGGTACTGTTATGTCCATATCTAGAAAGCTTCTTCCCCTTCACGAATTGAGAAACTTGTTGTTATAGATGGCAGTAGATGATGGTCTCCATAACTTTGCCACTGTCTGTGCAGATGATTGTGAGTAACCGTCGGCTTGCATGTTTCTCGAGACAATTTCAGTAAAGTATGTCAGATCTCGGCTAGTGCAGTAGATTGCGAGTTTCACAGGTTCTTCCATTAGGAGGGGTAGGAATCTTGGAAACCATATCCTGTTTGGCCATGCCATGGCTGTTAGTATTTTCATGCAATCCGTCTCTTCTATTTTCCTCAAGACTCTGTCTAGGCGCATCTTCCCGAGGCAAGAGAGTTAACTGACTTTAAAAGTTCAGTTTCCACCCTTGCCGAACTAGGCTGGAATTCCTGGGCTCGATCGTAGCGCCACAAGTGGGTATTACGAGTTATGTCCTTTCTATGCCTCTCCTATTGACCAATCCAATTCCACCTCTCATATCACTTGCATTTGCTTCAAACAAAACGGTGGCACCCAGTCAAGACGATCTGATCGATAATCAAGATCTATATTGTGATAAAACGAGTCTTACATCGCGAAGTGCATCAAATCACGTGAGCACCTTGATTAAAAACATGAAAAGATTTAGAAAATATCTGTTGACAACGAGTTAGTGGTGCACATGCTTTGCAAATCCCGCAGTCGACCGAAATCTGCATGACACTTTACGTACCGGATTTCAGTTTCGGTGCACGATTTTGATTGGACTATGCATAGACTCGTTAGTCCAGCCAAAATGTAACTCCATAATACCAGCCTAGTTCGGCAAGGGTGGAAACTTGACTTTTATAGTCAGTTAACTCACTTGCCTCGGGAAGATGGTCTAGGCGAGACCAAAGGGGGAAATGCGTCGGTAAATAATCCCTTCCAGGTAATGGATAGAGCATCAATCTAAAGGGCTGGTGGGTCTGGCACTGGGATGACATAAACTGGTAGCTTGTGGTTGAGGCAGGTGGCAAATAGGTCGAGATGTGGAGTATTCCAGGTTGATGTTATCCACTTGAATATCTCTGGATGGAGGGGCCATTCCGTGGGTGCGATCTTCTTCTTCCAGGATAGTCAATCTGCCAGTATGGAAAATTTTCCTAGGATGTGACATGCTACCAGCCTGCAACTCACTGAGTCTGCCAAAGCATATAAACGTGTAACCTCCTTCAAGCAAGGCTGAGACCTCATGCCCTCTTGATGTAATTGCATTTGCCATGCAAGGATAACTTGATAAAATGCTCTCATTTCCAGGCAACTGATGTTTAATTCCTTGTCTTGGGTAGACCATTTCGCCTGTACTGTGACGTGGTCCATGTGGGCTGCCCATCCTTTGCCTGATGCATCTGTGTAGAAATGATGTGATGAATGGGAGGTGCCTGGCATGACATTGCAGCCACCATGCCCCTATGTAGACTATGTCTTGATTGGGAACTAACCAGGAAACCCAGATGCGCTAGCATTTGGATGAGGAAGAATGTATTTTGCTTGATCTGTGACTTGTCCTGATCGGCCAGTAGGAAGTCGGCGATGTAGCTTTGTAGTGTAAATAGGTTCAGATGAGCAAACCCGATGACAAGGGTGGTGATCCTGGTGAACAGCCATGGAGCAATGGAAATGAGCTCTTGATATCTGGGTCTCTGAACATTTGATTGATGCCTTATTTTGTACAGATTCCCACAATTCATTTTCTGAACTAATTACCTACCAGACCGACCTTGGTTCTTATACCTTCTCAGGTCATCAATCTGCTACAGTTTGTCTTGCAGTTGCTCTTGTATAAGAACATCTAGCAGCGATAGTGTGAAAAGTTACCAAAATCGTGTTCAGATGTGATAAAAAAAAATCTTTAGCTTGTTGACATCTGGACAAACATGAAAGAAGTGATGTTTTCCAGCCTTGTGTATGTGCAGTTGCACTTCCTGCGAAGGATAGGGTTATCATCACAACTATTAGATATGTTGGCAGTGAAGAAAAGTGTTGAAACTTTAAATAAATTTATAGTGTGATTGACAGCCAAACAGGAATTTATGACTATGATGTAATAGAGCTAGGGTATTCAAAGAATTATTTTATTCTCATTGAAGCCCTGTGTCATGAATCTTTGGTGCTTCATAATTGGTGTTGCCTCGGGTTAGTAGAAAACATTTCATAACATATAAATCATCTGCTGAATCTTCTGAAGTCCTTGCCAAAATGACTTAAATCGATGAGTCGGTTGTCTCTCTGGCTTTCCTCGCCTACACTGAGTTTTATATTATGACATTCGATGTTTCTGTTTCTAATTTGGTGATGTTTGTGTTTATGCTTTTATCATGTTCTGACTAAATGGAGTAGCTTAGCCAGGGAGAACAAGAGACGACTACTGGTAATCCTGGATAAGTTGAACCAACTCACAAAATGTGTTTGAAACAGATTTTGGGATTACATATTTGGTTTTTGACAGGTAGAGAGGGCGTATGCATGTTGTGCCTGTGCAGGTCATGACAGTGAAACAAACGGACTACTGTCCCGTGGACACGGGTTGCTCATAAGACTACGGAATTCTCTAAAAGGCGTTAAATAGAAGTCAATAACCAACAAATAATCATGTCAATGCGAGGTAAGCATGGACAAATCATACATTCTCAGGCTTGAGAATTGGCCTCTAACTTACATGTAGAAAGAATGTACCAAAAGATCTCAAGCCTTGTCAAAAGCTGGCATTGCCACTGGTCTGTCTTATCTATGCTAAAGCACACAAGAGCAGAAGGTATCACTCATGATAAAGGCAAGAGTAGTTGCATTATCCCATTTAAGTAGCGAAATCATCCAGTGATCAAGTCTCAACTTTACGATTTCGACCAGTGCACTGTTCCCAATTCGTAGAGTAATGAGAAAACAACTCCAGACAGTATCTATGACATGATGAAAACTGATTTGAATTATGAGGGTTCAAGAGAAAGCTTAGAGTTATCTCTTAAACACATGGTATTTAGATGGCATAACATGCAAGGTTTTAATGGAAGGAAAAGCTAATGTTGCAGAGCACATGCAGTACTTAAAAGCAATAAAAGAAATGAGATGAGAAACGACCGACCATCTCTATTGATGAAACGTGGTGGCATGTGAACCACAGTGTCAAAACATCTTGGCAGTTGGAGGCTGATATGGCCATAGACATCGGGTGATCACAGTTCATGTACAGTCCGAGAATGGATTTGTACCAAATAAGCTGCTCATATTTGATGCAAAACTCAAAACAGGTGATTTGATGAGTTGAATTTTGATAATTTCTCCAAATGGTTGCAGGAAAAACTGATTGCCAACATTCCATCCAAGTCCATCACTGTTACGAACAACACGCCATATCATAGCAGGGAAGTGGATAAAATTGCATTTGACGACATGGATGATCAAACCCAAAATGCAGTTTCTTTCAAAATTTAACAAATCAGGTTCTGTGTACCAAGTAGATACCATGATAAAACAAAATGGACATGCTATGTCTGCCTCCTTAACCATGCAAATTTTCTTCCCAAACGAAACTTGCACTTCACAAAAACATCGATTTGAGCTGCATGTGAAGAACGTATGTCTGCAATCAGTGCAAAACACGGTCAGGATGTTGTAAGCATGTGTCCTACTGACAAATGCAATGGCAATGCGGTGGCACTATTGTGTATTGTCAGATACAGCTAGATGGAACAATTTGACAAATCACTGTTAAAGTTAAGCATGAACTAGCAATTTTCATCGCAGAAACAATATGTTGACATTTAATCATCAAACTACAACAAATATTAATCTTAACGAGTCAAAGTATGGCAGTTATGATATTTGTATCCATTTTCTGTCAACTAAGGTTTGTTTCAAGGTGTCAATAGTGGTAATATGATCGTAGTTACTGTAAATAACGGTGAGTTGGTAAAGTGGACCTTATGGAATGGAGCAAACAGAAGTTGTAAGTACCGGATGGACACCGAAATTAATGTAAATATTATTGAATGAAAGTTTGATTAAAATTAATAAAATAGATTACGTAGATTACAAACATGAGTCCAGATATACAATTAAACACTTTTTATTACCGACGATGTAATGACAGGACTAACTGGCATAATTCAATACGGATTTGTTGATATGTTATTTCAGATGACAGTTCATGATGAGACATAGTTTTAGGTTACGGGTCCGGCTTATCTACCGCACATAACAAGTTAAAGTACTGTCAGAAATGCTAGAAAACTGCTTTCTGGCTTACGAGTCATAGGACTATAAAAAGAGCATATATCAAAATAACGCACATTGCCCTAATCTAGCCTGTCCTAACTGACACTGTGATTACCCTTAAAATGTACTTTTACAGGTAAAATGATGATCAAGTCAGAAAATATTTGTGTGTTGTTATGCATGTATGAAATGGCCGATAACCTGAGGTAATTACCTAACACCTGTCCTGTGCATTCTCCCAGGTGCAAATGTCACTGAGTTGGGGTTGGTCTCAAAATATTGCTGTTATTGTACTTAATTGACATGCGTTGATGAGGTAGCAATTTAGGATATGTACTGCATTATATTTGCTTGGAAACATGATGGAATAGTTAAGAGCTATGAAACGGGATGAGTATTGGAAGGTTGCGGTTTTGGAATCCAGAAGTATTTGTTGTTCTACAGATGGTTTCTTGAGGTAGCATTTATCTCTGCTGATGATGTATATGAATCTGTACTTTTGAATGTTGTGTTATGTCATGCCACAAACCCTTTACACTTAGCCAAGATGGGTACAACAGGGTTGAGCTCACAATGTCTGACTGGCGTCCGTGACCATGTTGTGCCGCCAGCACATATGTCTTGTACTTTACTGGGTTCTTATTTAGCCGAATTTTCTCCAGGAGTTGAACTTTCGCTTCATATGGTCTGAAGTCGACAATGTCATATATTCCTGTATGGTCGCCTTTGATAGTTATGAATGGTTTGGAGATAATGTGACCTCATAGACAGGATTGAATATTTTCCCCTGAAAAGTGCTCAGTCATCGCCACGGGCATTGTATCGAAACGCCATCTCTTGGAGGGCAATAGTTAGTGCAGTTAACATTAATTGTATCTTTTATTCCTTTCAAATTCTACTACAAGTCAGGGTTACCTTCTGCTCATAAAGCTTGTATACTATACGCCTAGTCACCCTGTATCAAAGCTGTCTAATATCCTTTTACGTCCCTGTTTTGTTTTTGAGACCACCCCTCTAGCTGTTTTGTTTTATTTATCCTACTGTAGACTTGATGGTATGAATTGAAAACCATATAGCTTGGGCAGTTTGGTAATTCACCCGATCTGAATTAATAAATATTTTCCCTCTATCTCTCTAAAGTGTAAAGAACTTGTATACATTTCCCAATACAGACTCCATATCATGTACCATGGTTTTGGCTATGCAAGTGTAATGTAACATCCATCATGGGAGCATGCAATGTTTACAAAACAAATACAGCATCATTTTGTCATTTTAGAAGATGCACATCTAGAATTTTCTCAAAATGATTTCTGTGTGTGGATTACATGTTTAAAGAAGACTACATTATTATCATAATAACGGAGTCACGTGCGCATATTGATGTTGTCCGTTTCAGACTGCCATCATTGGACTTAGAATAAATGTAAACTTCCTGTTTTCGTTCAAATTTGTCTCCTGTAAACTTGTCGAAAGGACTCCTTGTGACTGAAATACTTCAAACAACAGGTAGGTCGATTGGTAGTTACTCGATATTTCAATAACAACAATCTGTGAAAAATTATATCCTTTTTCAACAGGCAAAAAGCAGATTTCTAGCATTTCCAAGAGTACTGTAATACTTCGGCTTATGTATGAGATCAGCTTATCTACGGTCATATATGTTTAAACCTAATGTTTCAAATATTTCATTGAATTTCAGGTGAGCCACAGAGCTATGTTGATCTTTTCATAATATCTTTATCTATCTGTCAAGGAGTGTACATGTGATAGAATGAGTTGGAAAAAACTACAGTTGCCATTTGTTCAGCTATGACAATTTAACAAGTTCTGAGACACATTTGCTGTGATTTTGTTACCACTTATCTGATATCTAGTGTGTGAAGGAAGACTGGTAGATGACATGAATGTGATACAGGACAGTGAACAGGACATGTATCATCCTCTCATTATGATTAAGTTCTCCTCTCATTGTTGAAACAGAAGTATGCTCAAAGTATTAATGTTACCCATGTGAAATTGCATTTAATTTCCAATTATGAAACATGAGATGGTCCCCATCTGCCCCAACAAGTGTCCCAATGCACCTGGATGTGGGGTTGACTGGGACAAAACAAATACTTCCACTGGTAATATCTCAGGTTGTCTTGTGTTTGTTGCACAAATGTTAGTCATTAAAGGCTTTAAATATATGATCTGTTCTTTGGATTCTGTACCAACTGCAACGGAAGATATACAACAACCATTTGGTGTCCATATGTGCACCAGTACTCAAGCTGTATTTAGTTTATGAAATATGATGTTAATGCATCTGACAATTTCCATAATATTTGATTACAGATAATTTATTTGTACTGGATATTTATGTTGATAATGATCCATTTCCTGGCTGTTCCAGTTCCTGCTATCCAGTGTTTGTTACTGTCACGTGACATATGAACCCCAACACATCCTCCTGCAGCCTGACTGCCCCCTCACCGACTGCTCCCTCACCGACTGCCCCCTCACCGACTGCTCCCTCACCGACTGCCCCCTCACCGACTGCTCCCTCACCGACTGCCCCCTCACCGACTGCTCCCTCACCGACTGCTCCCTCACCGACTGCCCTCACCGACTGCTCCCGCACCGACTGCCCTCACCGACTGCTCCCTCACCGACTGCTCCCTCACCGACTGCTCCCTCACCGACTGCTCCCTCACCGACTGCTCCCTCACCGACTGCTCCCGCACCGACTGCCCTCACCGACTGCTCCCTCACCGACTGCTCCCTCACCGACTGCTCCCTCACCGACTGCCCTCACCGACTGCTCCCTCACCGACTGCCCTCACCGACTGCTCCCGCACCGACTGCCCTCACCGACTGCCCCCTCACCAACTGCTCCCTCACCGACTGCCCCCTCACCGACTGCTCCCTCCTCACCAACTGCTCCCTCACCGACTGCCCCCTCACCAACTGCCCTCACCGACTGCTCCCTCACCGACTGCTCCCTCACCGACTGCTCCCTCCTCACCAACTGCTCCCTCACCGACTGCCCCCTCACCGACTGCTCCCTCGCCGACTGCTCCCTCACCGACTGCTCCCTCGCCGACTGCCCCCTCACCGACTGCTCCCTCGCCAAATGCTCCCTCACCGACTGCCCTCACCGACTGCCCTCACCGACTGCTCCCTCTCTGGCTACAATGAGCAACAGGTGCAGATAATTTCCCCTGTGCTACCACATCCCGGGGTGAATATTCAGTACAACAATCACATTCAAACAGGACAGCTGCAATTAAATATACCATGTTGGATCTGTAATTACATGCAATGTCCAGATCCCACGACCTGCTTTCATTTGTTCATTGCTGACAGGTCAGTTGTCCTAAATTCTTGTAGGAAATCAGTCATTTGCTAATTATCGAGAAGGCTTTGAGAGCATCAGGCAACCATTTACCCACTACTATAGTAGTGATTTTTGTTTTTTTTCTATCACTTTTTATTTACAATATTATCAAATGATGGTAACATCATAACATTTATGTTTCTGCTGTTAGTAAGATACACTTTATGGTTGTAACAAATGTTATATTTGGGAAAACACTTTCTTAGTAAAGTACAGATTCTCGTAGTTTTTGGGGTTGAGCGATCTAACCCACTCAGCCACCGAGGCTTCCACAAAAATGAAAGTCCGACTACCAGTTGTCGATCGCTGTGGGTTAGATCGCTGACTTTGTGTGCTGGCGATTAGGTGCCTCACTCTGGCAAGTGTGGGTTCGAATCCCGGACGGGACTCAACCCCAAAAAGTACGAGAATCTGTACTTTACTAAGAAAGTGTTATCCCAAATATAACATTTGTTACATTTGTACACTTTCTAAATGGCATTGTGTATTCCCACTTTATACTTATTTACACAATGAGCATTATGCCTGTGTACTCGTACAAAGAGGTGAGGGGAAATGGGGTTTAATGTCACATTCAAGATTATTGCATGTATACAGTGATGTGCATGCACTTGTGTTTGTGTGTGTATGGCTGTTTGTACTTGTCTGTACTAATGACGATTTTATAGTGCTACCCCACTGAGATACCATTCCGTAGTTTAACATGAATACCCTACTCAGACCCAGTGTACTGACTTCGAGCCGACCAGCCCTTTAATGGCGAGTGTCAGGCAGGCTAACAACAGCTACCATCTTTTTATGTCTTTTGGTATGACATGCCCGGGCATCAAACCCCCAAACTTCTGCTCTCCTGTCACATGCTCTACCACTAAACAACAGAGGTGGTCTACTCGTACAAAGAAGATGGATGATGTTTTTTTAAAGAACACAAATAAAGGGTCACAATAAACTAGAAAGATGTTTGCAACATTTCCTAAATGCCAATAAAGTTTCTCATCACAAACATGTATCATGAACCATAGTGACTTTACCACATCAGGAGACAGTTTACCTCACACATGCCCAATGCAGTATAATGTTATAACATTTATACTAAGTTATCCTATAATAATTAGATCCACATCAAGTGCTTTTATGAGTTATCATGGTGTAATATTTATACATCATTTCATATAATTATAGTTTAGCAAGTAATATTTATATGAAATGATGTATAAATATTACACCATGATAACTCATAAAAGCACTTGATGTGGATCTAATTATTATAGGATAACTATACATCATTTCATATAAATATTACTTGCTAAACTATAATTATATGAAATGATGTATAAATATTACACCATGATAACTCATAAAAGCACTTGATGTGGATCTTATTATTATAGGATAACTTAGTATAAATGTTATACCATGATAAAACATTTATACTAATTTATCCTATAATAATTAGATCCACATCAAGTGCTTTTATGAGTTATCATGGTGTAATTTTTATACATCATTTGATATAATTATAGTTTAGCAAGTAATGTTTATCATCAGGTAAAATGTATATATAAAATATCAGTAGTTTCAGTTATAGCTTTTTAGATAGATGCTAGCCTAAGGTAATGGGAGCGCATCTATCTAAAAAGCTATAACTGAAACTACTGATATTTTATATATACATTTTACCTGATGATAAATATTACTTGCTAAACTATAATTATATGAAATGATGTATAAATATTACACCATGATAACTCATAAAAGCACTTGATGTGGATCTAATTATTATAGGATAACTTAGTATAAATGTTATACCATGATAGCAGTACAAATTGGGAACAGAAAAGCCTATGACTCCAGCTACCTTAATAACAAAGTTATTTTGGGTTTAATAACATCGATTTGGGTTTGGGAAACCACATGGTCAATGCAGTACATGTTTAAAAAGAGAAAAACGTATACCTATATCTACCTTAATAACATAGTTATAAGCACTTCTGGTTTTCTAACATCACTTGTGAACCTCTAGTGATGTCATCCTATTGTTTAAATAGAACAAGGGCACATCAGAAGTTTGTTTGTTCATACTCTACCCATTGCAACCACTATTTACAGCATTAATGTTCAAACTTTGTCTTGACAAGTATCTCTTAGAAAAGCTTGCAAACTTTAATTCATGTAACTTCAGTAGTTTCAAAGAAAACTTGTCCCCCTTTCAAGCAGTATGCACAAGGTTGAAAAGCATGGAGTGAGGGCCTTAACTCATATTTGAGATTGTGACCAGTAACATCAGTGTGTATAATTATATTTCTCCAACATATAAAGCTTTGGGGAAAATTGGTCCCCATTGAGAAGCAGGCAGATGAATGGAAGGACAGAAAGATGGATGGATGAACTCCGTTCCTATATCCCCCGCCCCACTTCTTTGTGGAGGATAAAAACCTTTCAGCAACCTATCTCAACTGTCCCAGGGTTATTCTACAGTTACTCCCCCTGTCCCAGGGATATTGTACAGTAACTCCCCCTGTCCCAGGGTTATTCTACAGTAACTCCCCCTGTCCAAGGGTTATTCTACAGTAACTTCCCCTGTCCCAGGGTTATTCTACAGTAACTCCCCCTGTCCCAGGGATATTGTACAGTTACTTCCCCTGTCCCAGGGTTATTCTACAGTAACTCCCCCTGTCCCAGGGATATTGTACAGTTACTCCCCCTGTCCCATGGATATTGTACAGTAACTCCCCCTGTCCCAGGGTTATTCTACAGTAACTTCCCCTGTCCCAGGGTTATTCTACAGTAACTCCCCCTGTCCCAGGGATATTGTACAGTTACTTCCCCTGTCCCAGGGTTATTCTACAGTAACTCCCCCTGTCCCAGGGATATTGTACAGTTACTCCCCCTGTCCAAGGGATATTCTACAGTAACTTCCCCTGTCCCAGGGATATTGTACAGTAACTCCCCCTGTCCCAGGGTTATTCTACAGTAACTCCCCCTGTCCAAGGGTTATTCTACAGTAACTTCCCCTGTCCCAGGGTTATTGTACAGTAACTCCCCCTGTCCCAGGGTTATTCTACAGTAACTCCCCCTGTCCAAGGGTTATTCTACAGTAACTTCCCCTGTCCCAGGGTTATTGTACAGTAACTCCCCCTGTCCCAGGGATATTGTACAGTAACTCCCCCTGTCCCAGGGATATTCTACAGTAACTCCCCCTGTCCCAGGGTTATTCTACAGTAACTCCCCCTGTCCAAGGGTTATTCTACAGTAACTCCCCCTGTCCCAGGGATATTGTACAGTTACTCCCCCTGTCCAAGGGATATTGTACAGTTACTCCCCCTGTCCCAGGGATATTGTACAGTTACTCCCCCTGTCCAAGGGATATTCTACAGTAACTCCCCCTGTCCCAGGGATATTGTACAGTTACTCCCCCTGTCCAAGGGGTATTGTACAGTTACTCCCCCTGTCCCAGGGATATTGTACAGTTACTCCCCCTGTCCAAGGGATATTGTACAGTTACTCCCCCTGTCCCAGGGATATTGTACAGTTACTCCCCCTGTCCAAGGGATATTCTACAGTAACTCCCCCTGTCCCAGGGATATTGTACAGTTACTCCCCCTGTCCAAGGGATATTGTACAGTTACTCCCCCTGTCCAAGGGATATTGTACAGTTACTCCCCCTGTCCAAGGGTTATTCTACAGTAACTTCCCCTGTCCCAGGGATATTGTACAGTAACTCCCCCTGTCCAAGGGATATTGTACAGTTACTCCCCCTGTCCCAGGCATATTGTACAGTAACTCCCACAGTCCCATGGATATTGTACAGTAATTCCCCCTGTCCCAGCAATATTCGCCAATCGCCAATCAAAATTTACAATCTCAAGAGCTGTTGTACACCCAACAGGGTAATATCCAGGCATCACAATTGTTATCAAAAGGTTTTGCTCAAGGTTTCAATCTGCAGTACAATTGTCCGTTAGCTCTATAGGGCTGCTAAAACACAAACATCGGCAGTGTAACAACTGCCCAAGGTTGTCAGCAGCAAAATGCAAAAAGAAATTCTCTTAGGTAGGGTTACTAAGCAGGTCCTTTTTCTGCACGTACTATAAGGAGTATCACACATTGTTTTAGTCCAGAGGAAAACAGGAACATCATGCCCCACTGGTAAGTTTTCTGAAGATTTCAGGCTTATTCATCACTTCTCTTATCCCCAAAGCTCCTCAGTCAATGATCACATTGATGATGCATTTTGTTCTGTTCAGTACACTCAGTTTGATCAAGCAGTCACTTTTGTCCGGAATCCCAGATAAGGAGCTCTTCTTGATGAAAAACCGGACATCAAATCTACATTTAGGTTACTTCCAGTCAAACCACAAGTTTTCATCTGCTGGGTATGTACTTCAGGGAAATGTCTTCCTATTGGCTGCTCTATTTCTTGTGCATTATTTGAGAAATTCAGTCCTTTCCTAGAATGGTATATCACAACCAAATCACAACCCAATCAGGTCATATACTATTTGGATAATCTTCTGCTCGGATGTAAGCGTGGCACTTAACAGTGCAGTGAACCCTTAATGCTAGTAAAAACCCTGTTTCATATATTTGGTGTCCCCATTGCATCTGAGACCCGTGGAATTCCAGGGCAGAATAGGTCATCAGCAAACTATGCTAGCCGTAAAAGGCAACTATGCTTGTCTAACGGGATCAGGTGGTCAGGCAGAATAGGTCATCAGCAAACCATGCTAGCCGTAAAAGGCAACTATGCTTGTCTAACGGGATCAGGTGGTCAGGCAGAATAGGTCATCAGCAAACCATGCTAGCCGTAAAAGGCAACTATGCTTGTCTAACGGGATCAGGTGGTCGGGCAGAATAGGTCATCAGCAAACCATGCTAGCCGTAAAAGGCAACTATGCTTGTCTAACGGGATCAGGTGGTCAGGCAGAATAGGTCATCAGCAAACCATGCTAGCCGTAAAAGGCAACTATGCTTGTCTAACGGGATCAGGTGGTCGGGCAGAATAGGTCATCAGCAAACCATGCTAGCCGTAAGATGCTTGTCTAACGGGATCAGGTGGTCGGGCTTGCTGACTTGGTTGATGCATGTCATCATATCCCAATTGTGTTAATCAATGCTCATGATGTCAATCACTGATTGTCTGCTCAAGACTTGATTTTTTACAGACCGCCAGCATATATAGCTCAAATATTGCTGAATGTGGCATTAAAGAATAATTGATACAGTTTCTATGGAGATACAGATTTTTAAGGACAAGATCGAGGCTTTGGTGCTATAAATCACAAACATACTGCAATCCCACAGAAACAAGGCAACAGTTTGTACAATGCAATCGCTACTTGGCAAGCTGCAGTTTGTCATGGGGTAAGACTTACACAAAGGAAGACTTGAAGGTATGGCCTACATTCTCTAATCATCTCAATGGTGTTTCAATGTTCCAGGATGCAGAAAGCGTTTCTGGTCAACAACCATAACTATACACAGATGCTTCAGGAAGGCTTCAGGCTTACTTTCAGGGCAGATGGACATATTTTAAGTGGCCACAATCTTTGGTACAAAAGGATTTTGACATTACTTGATTTTTTTTCCTATTATTGTGGTTTGTGACTCTGGGGGCACAAGATTGTCAACAAGAAAGTTATGTTTTTTTGTGACAACCAGGCAGTGGTATAAGTCATCATGCAGCATTAGAACAAGCGGGTAATGTCATTGGTCAGAACTATGGTGAGCATAAGCTTTTGTGCCTGGTACATCAGCACCCACTACAATGTCATAGCTGAGACAACTCAGTTGTCAGGGTGAGTAGTCATTTGTCCCCAATCAGGCCTAGAGGTGTCAGATGACATCTGCTACTCGTCATACGAAGCAACACTGTTCAGGGCTTTTTTTTACTGTGGCATTCTTTGGATTCTTTTGGGTGAGTGAAATAGTTTCATGTTCCATACGGTATGATCCAGCTTTAAAATTGACTGATATCTGATACTGGACCACAAGATGTTATTCACCTGCAGTATTTCAAGACCGATCAGTCAGGAAAAGGAACATATATACATCTATCATCAATACCAGTAAATGCAATGTCTCCCTACTTGTTGGTTTGGCCCGAAGGATGTGAGCAGCGATCTAACCAGATATGAATTTCAGTTCCTTCTCAGAAGCACCATCTCTATTCCAGGTTTTTACTCCTACCAGTATGCATCTCATTCCTTTTGAATTGGCACTGCTACATCAGCAGCAATGAATGAGGTTGATCAGCAACAAATCCAGCAATATGGTAGATGGCAATCCTCGTGATTCTAACTCAACTTCTTCTTGCTTCAGGGACATGGGTGATAGGTAACTGCTCCCTGGCACCAGTCATAAAGAAGCAGTCCACAGTGCTTGCAGATCATGGTCCTACTAGTTGGAAGGTGAAAGGGGGCTGACTTGGAGCAAATACCGACCTGCTCTTTATAGACTCCTCGACAGCACCAAGCAACATCCAAGAAGGCTAATCATACAACTGTGCTCCAACACCTTGTATGTTAAAGCTGGACACCGTCTGCATAATGATAATGTGAGGGACCTATTACACACTCGTCTTCGCCTCCCCCACTCAACACTGATCTGGTCCTGGACGCTTCCACGTAGGTTGTCGCGAGGGGTAAACAATGTGAGCCAGGTCCCAACAAGGAAGAAGCTTTATTGTTGGATTGCCACCTGTGACAGGAACTCAAAGTTGACAGGCATGACTACGGTCATCCACATGCAGGTAGTTTGTACCTCAGAGACAATGAGCATGGGAATTATCTCCCTTTATGCCTCGTCCATTCACACTTTGAAATTTCTCCCAACAAGTTTACCTACTGTTGTCATTCTCTGTAATTCAGTGTATGATTATTTCAACAGTCTTACCTCACACCAGTAATCTCTCAACAAAACAAATTTAATATATTCCTATCAAAACCACTGGTCTGTCAATAATCATGAACATTGTGAACACTGATGGCAGTCTTAGAGTAGAATATCTTTTCAATCCAGAAGTAGATCACCTGCCATAGTTGATCACCTGTTTTCATGGACTGATGCTGCTTCTTTTCACTACAAGAAGCTCCCGATGGACGCAAACTTGGAGTGTGGTTAAAACACAGATTTTATGTGCGCCTCAGTCAGATGAATGCTTGTCTTGTTGCCTAACAACACACTGTGATAGGCTGAAGAATGAAGCACCATGTTCCAGATAATTACTGGATGCAAAATACACTAATCCCCATTGGATGCAAAAATGCATGGCTGTACAATAAAAACTTCTGACTATGTCTAAATTTCCTCAGTGTATTTTAAATATTTAGTGTAGACTTGAGAGTATGGACACTTTGTGATGTCATTAGTGTCTTTGAGTCACAGGCAAGATGACATCAACTCCAACAGCACCAATGGATGAGATAATCAGGACTCACCATGCACCAATGGATCAAATAATCAGGATTCACCATGCATCAATGAATGAGATAATCAGGACTCACCATGCATCAGTGGATGAGATATCAGGACTCGCCAAGCACCAATGGATGAGATAATCAGGACTCGCCATGCACCAATGGATGAGATAATCAGGACTCACCATGTACCAATGGATGAGATAATCAGGACTCACCATGTATCAGTTGATGAGATAATCAGGATTCACCATGCACCAATGGATCAAATAATCAGGACTCACCATGAATCAACGAATGAGATAATCAGGACTCACCACGCACCAATGAATGAGATAATCAGAACTTACCATGTATCAGTGGATGAGATAATCAGGACTCACCATGCATCAATGAATGAGATAATCAGGACTCACCATGCATCAGTGGATGAGATGATCAGGACTCACCATGCACCAATGGATGAGATAATCAGGATTCACCATGCACCAATGGATGAGATAATCAGGACTCACCATGCATCAGTGGATGAGATAATCAGGACTCACCATGCATCAGTGGATGAGATAATCAGGACTCACCATGCATCAGTGGATGAGATAATCAGGACCTTCCATCAGGTGATGCTGTCTTCTCTGCAAATGCTTTTATACCTTCCATCAGGTGATGCCGTCTTCTCTGTAAATGCTTTTATACCTTCCATCAGGTGATGCCGTCTACTCTGTAAATGCTTTTATACCTTCCATCAGGTGATGCCGTCTTCTCTGTAATGCTTTTATACCTTCCATCAGGTGATGCCGTCTTCTCTGTAAATGCTTTTATACCTTCCATCAGGTGATGCCGTTCTCTGTAAATGCTTTTATACCTTCCATTAGGTGATGCCGTCTTCTCTGTAAATGCTTTTATACCTTCCATCAAGTGATGCCGTCTTCTCTGTAAATGCTTTTATACCTTCCATCAAGTGATGCCGTCTTCTCTGTAATGCTTTTATACCTTCCATCAAGTGATGCCGTCTTCTCTGTAATGCTTTTATACCTTCCATCAGGTGATGCCGTCTTCTCTGTAAATGCTTTTATACCTTCCATCAGTTGATGCCGCCTCTCTGTAAATGCTTTTATACCTTCCATCAGGTGATGCCATCTTCTCTGTAAATGCTTTTATACCTTCCATCAAGTGATGCCGTCTTCTCTGTAAATGCTTTTATACCTTCCATCAAGTGATGCCGTCCTCTCTGTAAATGCTTTTATACCTTCCATCAAGTGATCGAACTAGTGATGGTACTGCTCGGCAGACAGAAAATAATGAAACCAATTTTTGAATTGATGTATGATGTGTGTACATGAAGAAGACACTCTGCACATTCAAGCTATGTGACAGCAGTCAGTAAATATCCAGGTTTAAAGACCATATTGATGCAAGGTTTGAGATCCAGTATACGGGAATTGTAGTTGGTGCAGGTGATGAGGTTCTGGCCATAGACAGGAATTCCCCAATTTGTAGCCATCTTATCATAGCGACTGATTCAGGACAATCATATTCAACATCACATGTGTCTGTAACCAACGCAGTCAACACATTGGAGCTATCGGGTATGACAGGCTTCTAAGTCTGTCCTTTCCTGAACCTCGCTGCAGCAATGTGTATGACACAAACGTGTCAGTCTCTCATTAAAAGGATATGCTTCTATGCTGAAGTCCAGTCATCAACTCAAATCATGGAGAACATAGAACGGCCACGTCATGAGATTGAAGAAACAACAAGCACCTCTCTGAATAAGATCAAGTCCTCCCAAGCCTTTCCTGATCAAATATCTTTCAAAATTTCCCTCCTACACCGCACTAAATTAAGCAAGTACACATGTCTATCCAACAGAGATTACTGAGGACCAAGCAAGTACACATGTCTATCCAACAGAGATTACAGAGTACAAAGCAAGTACACATGTCTATCCCACAGAGATAACTGAGGACCAAGCAAGTACACATGTCTATCCAACAGAGATTACCGAGTACCAAGCAAGTACACATGTCTATCCAACTGAGATTACTGAGGACCAAGCAAGTACACATGTCTATCCAACAGAGATTACTGAGGACCAAGCAAGTACACATGTCTATCCAACAGAGATTACCGAGTACCAAGCAAGTACACATGTCTATCCAACAGAGATTACCGAGTACCAAGCAAGTACACATGTCTATCCCACAGAGATTACTGAGGACCAAGCAAGTACACATGTCTATCCAACAGAGATTACCGAATAACAAGCAAGTACACATGTCTATCCCACAGAGATTACTGAGTACCAAGCAAGTACACATGTCTAACCCACAGAGATTACCAAGTACCAAGCAAGTACACATGTCTATCCCACAGAGTTGACTGAGTATCATGCAAGTACACGTGTCTATCCAACAGAGATTACCGAGTTCCAAGCAAGTACACATGTCTATCCAACAGAGATTACTGAGGACCAAGAAAGTACACATGTCTATCCAACAGAGATTACTGAGGACCAAGCAAGTACACATGTCTATCCAACAGAGATTACTGTGTACCAAGCAAGTACACATGTCTATCCAACAGAGATTACTGATGACCAAGCAAGTACACATGTCTATCCCACAGAGATTACTGAGGACCAAGCAAGTACACATGTCTATCCCAAAGAGATTACTGAGGACCAAGCAAGTACACATGTCTATCCAACAGAGATTACTGAGGACCAAGCAAGTACACATGTCTATCCCACAGCGGTTACTGAGGACCAAGCAAGTACACATGTCTATCCATCAGAGATTACTGAGGACCAAGCAAGTACACGTGTCTATCCAACAGAGATTACTGAGGACCAAGCAAGTACACATGTCTATCCAACAGAGATTACTGAGGACCAAGCAAGTACACATGTCTATCCAACAGAGATTACTGAGGACCAAGCAAGTACACATGTCTATCCAACAGAGATTACTGAGGACCAAGCAAGTACACATCTCTATCCAACAGAGATTACTGAGGACCAAGCAAGTACACCTGTCTATCCCACAGCGGTTACTGAGGACCAAGCAAGTACACATGTCTATCCATCAGAGATTACTGAGGACCAAGCAAGTACACGTGTCTATCCAACAGAGATTACTGAGGACCAAGCAAGTACACGTGTCTATCCAACAGAGATTACTGAGGACCAAGCAAGTACACATGTGTATCCAACAGAGATTACTGAGGACCAAGCAAGTACACATGTCTATCCCACAGTGGTTACTGAGGACCAAGCAAGTACACATGCCTATCCCATTGCGGTTACTGAGGACCAAGCAAGTATGTGTGTCTATCCAACCGACTATCCTTCTGGACTTTGTTGGAGACAAAACCATAACAGTAGTTTTGTTTTCCTGTATAGGAGTCATAATGGAGATGTGTTGCTCCATCTGAAGTGTCTCAGCTGTTTGTAGACTCCTTGGGGGTGAGTGCTGATCAGCAGCTACATTAATAATATTTCAACTTTTAATTACCAATCTAGTCACTGTCCATTTTTTATTATCACCATTAAGTTGTTTTCAACAATAGCATTCTATTTCATCAACCTGTAATTTCATAAAACATTCCTTAGTTGTCACCATGTTGGTATGAACTATTCAGAGTAGGATATGTTGGGTTATCATGTAATTGAAATGTATTTTCATCCTGGTGACTGTAACATCCTGACAGGCGAAACATCTACATCTGATTATTGTTGTGTCAAGTTTATTGTGAATTTGAAATGAGTTGTAACCTCGTATGAGTCATCATTGTAAATTAATGGTCCCTTGCAATCTCATGCAATAAGACCTCAGCAATGCATGTTGGGTAAACAGAGTGAGATGCTTGCTATGGCGGATGTTGTATCGATGCTCTGAAGTAAACAACTATGTGGAACTACAAGATAAGTCTGTCTTATTTCTTATGAAACATATGGGATTACGATCCCAGGTTACCACAAAATGCTTATGTACACTGTTACCATATGGCCATGTTTTTAAGAAATGTTTTATGTATTTGTTTTAGGCTACATCATGGGTGGCTATAATACTGACTACCACAGCAAATAAAAGTGATTCAAGAGAGATATTGTACTTGGTCCTCTTTACCCTGCTACACATATTTGGCACATGCTTCTTGGTAATGGAATGACAGGCACTTGACAACATTTCTAGGAATTTGTAACATAAATAGATCTTGTGCCGACTTTTGAAGTTTTTTAGGCCTAGTTTTGCTGACATATTTTAGTTGAATATGTAAAACTGGACTCTTTAGCTTCCAAGAGATGGATGCAGAAATCATAAATGCCATAATTTGACTCACAAAACGTCATATTTGTTGTAGTGTGACTATCATATGTCAACATAACATTTTTGCGACCAAAATAGTTAGACCCCAGGAAGCCTACACGGTGACTGGAACAATTCCATACGAAAAATATATCCAGAAATAGCAATCAGCTGTAACAAAGTGCTAATTGATGGTTATTATTATTTTTAAAATAAACATATAAAAGCTGCAACTATTAAATAACACGATATTAGAATCTCTGATAAAATAATAGTTTCAGACACAATTTTCTCCGATCATTGCATCAAAATTCTGTGAAGTTATATCATCAGGTATTTTTTAACTGAATCGCCTGTAGATCTGGGAGAAAATGTGTGTACAACTGATTGCTCCTTCGGTTTACGAGAAAAGACAAACGGTAATCTTAATCTCTGCATAGAAAACCATAGGAAATACAAATCTAACATTTACTGATGCTTTACCACAAATTTTGCATTATTATTGACCATGTTTGTTATCACCTTTTCATTTACCTGAATTTGCTGAAGGGATTCAAAGTAGTTTTATACTACGCATTAAAAAAAGAAAATCGGTGTTCCCCAATGCTGCATCCCAAAGATGTGTGCACATTATGCTTACTCAAGAATATACAGTTAGCTATTGAAGATAGAGTAGCCTACCTTTGCTTCATTAGCGCAAGAACTAACATTTATCGCACATATTGCAGCAATCCTAAGTTTTATTTGCAGTTGGGGCACGCTTAAGGGAAAAGCAGATGGAGATTCTGATCATTAGAATACGGATTTCTTCAAGAAAAGCAAGACATCAAATCCAGTTTACTCATTAAATCATTACTTGTCCATGGACATGCTAGGCAATGTATATTACTCACCCAACTTCTAAATATTACTTGGCACGGGCATCGGGCAACAGTATTTTCTAACCCCTGTACTGACTCAAGACTTTTGGCTACAGATCATTTTCCCACACTTCCCCAGTTCTATGAGTGAGTGAGTGAGTGATTATGGTTTTACGCCGCTTTTAGCAATATTCCAGCAATATCACGCCAGGGGACACCAGAAATGGGCTTCACACAATGTACCCATGTCGGGAATCAAACCCGGGTCTTCGGCGTGACAAGCGAACGCTTGAACAACTAGGCTACCCGACCGCCCCCTCCCCAGTTCTATGGAAAACTCTGCCTGCAATCTTCTTGCTCAGTGTGCATATATATATACTCAACAACAAAAGTTCCTGTGACATCAATATTATAGTGTATTTTTCAAACAAGTAAAGTTTGGTTTTCAATATTGTAGTACATGTATGGAACAAGTCACAAAAACGCAACTGCTACAGAAAAGCATGCATTCCATGCAAAAGTTGACTTTTATGCAAGCCCCATGCATTTCACTACCCAAGAATGGGTATAAAAACATGTGCGTTAATGGGATTTCCATATGCATTGTTATCCTCGTGCTGACAACAACCACTCAGAAAAACAACAAAATTACGCAATTATTCAACATTACAAAATGCCATGCCTGTCCGAAAATGAGCGTCTGTGAGCTATTGGTATGCTTGAAGCCGGATCGAGTCAACGTGATGTTGCAAGACAATTTAACGTCCACAGAAACACCATTGGTGTTTATGGCAACGTTGGCAAAAGACGAATGCAGTCAGAGACCATCCTCGGAGTGGCAGGCCACGCGTAGCCAATAATCGACAAGACAACTGGCCCCAGGATCATGAAACTAACTTAAGACCATATTTTGTCTTAACTCTTAAGATTTAGACTTAAGACTAAATTTTGTCTTAAATCGGGGATCACGAAGCACAATCTATGAGAATATCTAGCCTAAGACAAAATTTGATCTTAAGTCCTAAGACTGCCCCTGAGTAGACTTAAGACAATATTTGTAGCAAGAAAGATGGCGGAGGCTGTTCGCCTCATGAGTCTCCTAAGGCCTAAAAAGGACAAAATAGCAATTCATCGGACATTTCGAGACCGATTCAACCCTCGTGATCTGTACAACAACGAAGAGCTCTTTGAGAGATATAGATTTCGTCGTTCTGCCATTTTTTTCATCGTTGGTCTAACCAGTGATGAACTGGCATAGATTCTACCCCACTCAGCATTCCCACAGTCTCCCACCTATCATTCAAGTTATGATATTCCTTCAGTTTGTTGCCACTGGGGCTTTTCACCTTTATTTGCTCAGTCGTTTTGTGTCAGCCATATTGGATAGTGTTTACAAAATCACGTTATACGTACACCGGTAATGAGACGCAAATACCATCACATATATTTCAAAATCAGCTGCGATACCTACATCCTTGAATTCCTCATACATTTTAGAATCAAATGCCAAATGGTCTTTGTCACCAATACAAATTTTCTAGATGTAATGAAGCAAAATAAATGAGGTGTGAAAACGAACGCTGAAAAAAGGGCACTTGTTTGAAATGTTTCCGTTGGTTTCAATGAAAAATATAACAACAAATAACAGCACACGGATTGTCAGAATGGGTCTGATTACTTACATGTCACATTTATGTATATACGAACCCTGAATCAAGGAAAGTCCCCTTGTAAAATCCCGCGTACTGTTGACAGTCAACATATTAAGTAATTTCTTTGAGGTGGAGGTCCTTGAATGAAAGTATACACATCTAGTTTTGCATTATATAATCAATGGGTTCGTCCTTTATCAAATATTGTGACCACAGGATATTAAACTGTTTACTATATTTCTCCAAGAATTGTAAAAAGTTTTAAAATATAACCTGTGCCATGTACCCCGTTGGTGGACGATTATCCTTATACGATTATCCTGATAATTCTATACCAAGAGAGCTTTCTTCGCATCTTTTATGGTATAATTCTGAGACAAGATGATGAGAAATAATTACATAATAAAGAACTAATACATGTCCAATATTGAATATTAATTTTGTTTGGTTTGAAATAATCTTTTGAGTACTTGATTACGTAAAATTGATGCCAAACAGGTGCGTGTCTTGTCCAATTAAGATACACTGTACATTATCGAATTGTTTATCTATTCAAGACATCATTTACATGGTAAACGCAGTCTTTTTATGTTGTGTCAAAAAAGCGTCAAATTCCATTGTACACATGGACTTTTTCCATACCATGAACGAAAATTAGGGGAGATATATATCAATCAAAATAAAAGGGTCATCTTTCTCCGATGTTATCAAAGACATACAAGCAGCCATGGCGTCAAATAGAATTGTGTCATTTTCTTAGTAATTCATTACATTTGATGATACTGCTAGTGATCCAATTATATAGGTGCAACATTAGTCAAATTACACTTGCACAATCAGGAGAATGTTGGAATCTAAGGACTAATTTATGTTTTACATAGGGCCATCCATTTCGCTATCACTCATTTTTTATGAAGTACAATTTCATCATGTCTGGTGGTTTTTTTAATTCCTAAACGTATACAGTTCCAATATCGATATTTGTGTTGGAATAGTTTGGTTCCTCATGAACAAAACACAACGAAAATACACTGTCTTTACCCACAGCTAATTCTCACCAAGTGACCTGAGTTACAATAAACTAGTGCTTAAGCATAGCGGAGTTATGCCCCCTTTCCTTTGAACGTGTGTAACCTCTCTGTCGCCTTTTGACGTCATAGCGGTAATCAGTTTTCGTCATTTACGGCAGGCTATTTTTTCCATTGAATCTATGTCGTTATACATACTCATATAACTCCCTTTGATATATATTTATGTCGTTCAAATATTGGGGAATGTATTTTGTTCGCTCACAGTTTCGGTAAAGCTGCTAAATGAAAAAAAATGTCGCACAGGACTTTTATTGGTGTATGCTAAAAAGCGGAGAAATTTCCTGTTTTTCAACACAGATTAAATTCTCGGACAAAACTTAGCAGCGTCTTCTTTTCAAACCAGTTTAATATAATAACAGTTAAATTTACACCATCAGATAGGAAATTTAAAATTCTACATTGCTGCGGTATTTTATAGCCGGAGGTAGACCCAGTGCCGAGTGAGCGCAATTCTCGCACAACCCTCACTTTTCCAATCTTAGGAAAATGTGCGTCAGAAAAATAACCTCGGCATCCAATGATTACCGTAGTGCGATATTACGTGCGCGTGTCCCTATGACGACGGTCTTAAACTTAGACTTAGCTAAGATTTTGCTGAGACCGTTTCAAGATCCAGTCTTAGACCGAATCTTAGCTAAGCAAAATCTTTAAAACTTAAGACAAAATTCGTGCTGAGCAAAATTTGAGCTAAGACCACTTTCATGATCCCGGGGCCTGGATTCGAACAACACACCTACAAAATCGATTCCAGCCAGCAACAGTGACTGCAAGAAGCATCCCTGGCCTTCTATAAATATCTTCACAAACCGAATGTCGTCGCCTCAGATGTGCAGGGATTGTCACCAAAAGACCCGCCAGATGTCCCATTTTGACAGGAAACCACCGCCAAGCACGTCTAAAGTGGTGCAGACAGCATCTACGCTGGCTGGCCATGTAATGGGGACAAGTTCTATTCACTGACGAGTCTTGTTTTCACCTCAGCAACAGCGATGGACAGATTTGAGTGTACTGAGATCGAGGTGAACGTTACGTCAATCATTTTGTCATGGAAGAAGATCGGTTCAGGGGCCGCAGCGTTATGGTATGGGTTGGGATTACAGCAAGACAGAGGACCCTTTTGATAGTGGTACCGCAACGAGATCATCGGCCCTGTTGTTCTACAAGTTTTGCATCATCATGGCCCAGACATTACCTTTCAACATGACAACGCCCGGGCTCATATTGCTCGATTCAGGATTCTCTTCAACAAAACAATGTGAATGTCATTCCCTGGCCGGCTCGCTCCCCTGATCTCTCACCAATCAAGCACATGTGGGATGAGATGGATCGGAGGCTTCGACGTCAACCACGTGTTCAACAGACACTCCAGGAACTTCAAAACATGCTCCAGCAGATATCGACAGATATCCCACAGGACTTTGTGCGACGTCTGGTCCATTCCATGAGACGAAGATGTGTAGCTTTCATCGCAACCAGAGGTGGACACACATGCTATTGATTTGTGAATTGACATTTTGGCATGTTCATGTTTTTTATGAAATCACACATTTTCTGAAGTCAGTATGGCAAATTAAACCATTTGAACACTTACAGGAGTCTTTTATCTGTTGCAAACCGAAATTGTTTCAGATTTGGTAAAAAACATAACTTTGCATTAAATCTTATTCAATGTCACAGGCACTTTTGTTGTTCAGTATATATGTAAGCAATCTGGTAATAAGTGAGTTTGTATTTACAGTTCACATTCAAATCTGTCTTGGACAGTTCCAACATTTCCTGTATCGTAAATTTGAGATCTTGAGAGTAGTGTAGTTTTACCAAAAAGCGAGCCCTGGAGCTATATATAGAGGATGGAATGGCACGAAATATGTCGTAATAGCCAGAGAGGCTGCCATTAACTTTGGCCCCTTTAAGAGAAAACAACATCCCTAGGGATAGAAGATCTGGATGATGATGAAAGTGGAGCTTGAATCCCCTCTCAACTACAGGTAGAATCCAGTGGGACATGATGTGGCTCCAATTCTCAGCGAATAACACCAACTGTTCCCCCAGTTTTGGCTAGGGTTCTTGGGGAGATTTAACGGTATGTCAGTTTTTCAGAATCAAAAGTGCGCTGACAATAAGTATCTGCAGCTGTTCACTGATGCAGCCAGCACTATCAGGTTCAGGACATACTTTAACAGGAACTGGGCAAACAGGCTCTGGCCCCGGGAGTGGATGGACCTCGGCTCAACTCACGACATGACACTGCTGGAGCTGTTTCCGATTGCTCTGTAAGTTTGTCTGTGGGGCACAGCCTTTGCTAACAGGAAAGTACTTTTGTTTTGTGATAACCAAGCTGTCGTGTCAGTCATCAATAAACAGTCTTCAAAGGCACCCATGAATCATGTCACTGATTAGGCATCTAGTCTGCCTCAAAAACAACATTTTGTTCAAGGCGAGATACATAACGACATATGACAATATTATTGCAGATGCACTGTTGAGATTTCAGTGGGAATGATTCTGCATACCTAACAGTGAGATCACAGGGTCTCAAGCTTTGATAAATCTCCTCTGACCAGGTATCAATTCCAGGCTGTGCTAAAAAGAGCACTGGCACATAGCGGCATCTGTACAGCAGCATACTCTTCGCATTCCTTCAGGATTGGTGCAGCAAAGACAGCACCTACAGGACAGTGACTTCGGTATGGTTGGGTTGGCAAGGGGCGGCATGAGGTGGGAGGAGCTGACGAAGTTGATAGATGCCCAGGTAAAGTCAATGCGGACACCACCGAAGGCGGTAGTGATTCACCTTGGTTCGAATGGTATTGTAACCACGTGCCAGCTATATTACCAGATCAATCTGGCACTCCTGAGGATACAACTCCTCCCTGGGGCTGTCATTCTGTGGTCAGACATGTTGCCACGGAGGTACTGGCATGTAGCCAGCTGTGCCCGGCACCTGGAAGTGGCCAGGCAGAAGCTAAACAGGGCCCGCGAGCTTGGGGAGATACGGGTTTCCCACACTGCCTTCAACCGACAAGACCAAGACAAGACTGTACCTGCATGACAGGGTTCATTTGTCACCAGTTGGACTTGACTTATTTGCACAAAACATTCGCAGCTGCCTGTCCGTAGTATGCTTGCAGGAAACATTTTCTGTATAGGATAGCACGGTGGGTGTACATGAGCGCAAATGGTCGTGGTTGTGTGGAAGCACCTTGGTGCTTGTGGCGGGGTACTGGTGTTACATTTCGCATCTTGGGATTCATCCCAAATCAAAAATTATATAGGATAGTGTTGCCCGCTTTACAGCAGGAACCAATTTATCCATTCTGCTTTACAGCAGATGGCTTAGTGTCAGCTTTACAGCGGATGGTCGCCTAGGCAGCCATAGTTGCCCTCGCTCGTTTTTTGACAATGATACTTGCCTTGCAGCACTAGCTGCATAGCAACATGGGTTGCTTGGCAACAATAGTTGCAGAGCAGCATTTGGAACATGGGTTGCTTGGCAACTGTTGTTGCAGCGCACATCAGCTACAGGAGGTGTGGCCAGTCCCGCTGGATCAGGTTGTAAACTTCCTGTTGGGGCAAGCTATTAACAGGCTTACACAAGTCGGCGGTCCGACCAGACAGCAGAAAACCCATCACGGCAGATCAGTTGCAGATAGTAACCAACAATCTGCCAAACGTATGTTTGTCAGCATATGTAAGCAAGACAAGTCTACTGTACAGCCTTCTTTGGTTTCTTTAGGGATAACGAGCTGGTCCAGACTGGACCCTCCAAACCAGGTTGCTCCATCCACAATTTAAGTTTCTTGGGCAACCCCAAACAGCTATCAATCCATCCAAGTGATCAGTACAATACATGGCCAACTGTTACAAAGTCATCTATACCAGGTCTTCACTATGTCCTGCAGTCACCACTAAGGACTATCTTGAGGCGCCTCCTACTGGCCAAAACATGAATTTGTTCATTTCGATCATTCCCCTGTTACTAGGTAACCAATTCCAAGCACTCTTTAAAAAGGCCTTAGCACACAGAAACATAAATACTGCTTGCTATTCTTCTCACTCCTTCTGCATTGGGGCAGCCACAAGACCGCGAGGTGCAATGAAGTGGACGGAGCTGAACACCATCTTAGATGCACAGGTCAAGGCCACAAGTCTCAGCCCCAGAGCCCTCATCATGTACCTTGGCTCCAATGACCTGAGCACAGTCAACACTACCTTGACATGGTGGCCTCAATCCCTCGGATTCTCCAACTTCCTGAGACCAGAATCATCATATCCTCAATGATGCCCAGGTGCTACTGGCATGAAGCCAGAGATCCAATAAAGATAGAGGGGATGCGGAAGAACATCAATAGCAGGCTAGCCAACCCTGTCAAAGAGCTTGGCGGAACTATCATGATATAACATTTATACTAAGTTTTCCTATAATGATTAGATCCACATCAAGTGCTTTTATGAGTTATCATGGTGTAATATTTATACATCATTTCATATATTTATAGTTTAGCAAGTAATACTTATCATCAGGTAAAATGCATATATAAAATATCAGTAGTTTCAGTTATAGCTTTTTAGATAGATGCTAGCCTAAGGTAATGGGAGCGCATCTCCTAGACATACTATTCAATAAGAGTTATGTCTACATAGTTTAATAGATCTGAAGCTTTTATGTAAATACTAGCCTAAAGTATCAAGATCCCATCTCCAAGACAAAAGATATGTCTACATAGTCTTATAGATTACCTTGAACTATTTTATTTAAGTAAATCTGTCATCACCTATATTAGAATAACATTCAGCAATTACTTCAATTTAGACTCATTTAAGATTAGCCCCCATACAAGCTCGTCTATAGTGCATTAAGGATTAGCCCCAATACAAGCTCGTCTATAGTGACACCATAATCTTTTTCAAAGCACCCAGTAAATATGTCAACAAGATTAGTGCCAGTCCAACAGGATTAACAGGATTAAGTATTCCCCTCTGTCTAGCCATTCATTAACCATAAGGCACAGCCCATCATGTATCAGCCAATCATATTCCGATTTATTGTTCTAATTTTTGTTAAATACATACAGAAACCAAATGTTAAGGCAGAAGGGGTTTGACGCTCATACCAAGCAGATCTCTCTCTCACAGACCAGAGGGTTGTACCAACTCTCTGTGGCACCCTCAGCTTTATTCTAAGATTTTGTAACTTGCTCATTGTTAATTGTTCTTGTAAATAAAATTGTGATTAGTCTCCTGTGACTCCGGCTCTTTGCTGACTAATTCCCCCAAGAAAACCAGCACACCATTTGGAAGGTTTTTGTTCATCCGAACATACCATAATAGAACAATAGTGCCAGATCCTGGCATCAGACAGGACATGGTATGGCTGGGAGGGCATCCATCTTAGTGACAAAGGACTGTGTGTTTTTACATACAGTTTATTGCATGCCCTGGCACTTGTTTTGCACTAATAGGAGGATGTTATCTCCAAAGGTCAGTGTTTCTTTTCAAAACATAGGCAAGCTGGGCCACAATGCTATCTCCACGCATAGTGGCCGTGGGTGTGGGGTAGCACTTTGGTGCATTGTTGCATGATTCTCGTGGGCTACCCTGCTAGTAACAAATTACTTGCTTCCAAACTAATATTGGCTAAGTGCTTCTCAGTTCAAACCTTGTCTTTCCCGACTTTTCAGCAGTGGAATCATAAAATAGTTTACATTGGGCAACCAATTGCCAAGTATATTGGCCCAGCGGAGGTAGTTGACATGTCAGCAGTAGTTGACATTTTACTAATTGGGCAGGGCTGCGGTAGTTGTTTTGGTTCAGCTACCTGGTGCCAGGCAGCAGTAGCTGACTTAGGCCAGCAGTGGTAGCTGCTTTTGGCAGTGTGGTAGTTCCCAAGCAATGGTAGCATTTAAATATGCTACCATGGGGGCTGGGCAGCAGTAGCTGCTGATTGCCATTGAGGATGCTTGTTGCCCTGGCAACAGTAGCTTTTTCGTATACCCAACTAGCAGCTTAGTAGCCCACTAGTACCTGCACATGCTTGGCCATTGAATCCACTCTCATCAAGTGTTTTTATTATAGGCACGGGCATCCACAGTTTGGCATATCATGCAATAATTGCATTTAGTACTAGCCACTAAATGGCTGCAAACCAGTCTTTACGGGACCACCTGCCTTCATCTCTATAATTTCTACTGTTTACAGGACCACCTGCATCCATCTCTACAATGTCTATTGTTTACGGGACCACCTGCATCCATCACTACAATGTCTACTGTTTACAGGACCACCTGCCTCCATCTCTACAGTGTCTATTGTTTATGGGACCACCTGCCTCCATCTCTACAATGTCTACTGTTTATGGGACCACCTGCATCCATCTCTACAATGTCTATTGTTTACGGGAACACCTGCCCCTCCATCTCTACAGTGTCTATTGTTTACAGGACCACCTGCCTCCATCTCTACAATGTCTACTGTTTACGGGACCACCTGCATCCATCTCTACAATGTCTACTGTTTACGGGACCACCTGCATCCATCTCTACAATGTCTACTGTTTATGGGACCACCTGCATCCATCTCTACAATGTCTACTGTTTGTGGGACCACCTGCATCCATCTCTACAATGTCTACTGCTTACGGGGCCACCTGCCTTCATCTCTACAATGTCTACTGTTTAAGGGACCACTAGCCTCCATCTCTACAATGTCTATTGTTTACAGGACCACCAGCCTCCATCTCTACAATGTCTATTGTTTACGGGGCCACCTGCCTCAATCTCTACAATGTCTACTGTTTACGGGGCCACCTGCCTCAATCTCTACAATGTCTACTGTTTACGGGGCCACCTGCCTCCGTCTCTACAATGTCTACTGTTTACAGTACCACCTGCATCCATCTCTACAATGTCAACTGTTTGTGGGACCACCTGCCTCCATCTCCACAATGTCTACTGTTTACGGGACCACCTGCCTCCATCCCTACATACTTGCTACAAATCACATTTTATTACGATACATGCAGAAATGTTATAACCATAAATGATATTTTCCATATGGTCACCGCGAGCACTTATCAGAGACACCATAGCTGGGATCATTCATACAAGTTTCAGCTCCATAGGCCTTGTAGATTCAGAAGAGGTGTTGATAATGCAAAAGTTAATGATGGACGGAAGACAGACAAGACGCTATGACAAAAGCTCACTTGACTGTCAGTCAGGTGTCATTATAACAAAGCGCAAACCTACTCTGTAGTGATGCTCAAAGCAATAGTGCTGCTGAAATTTCAGGTGTGAGTTAGTGGTGACAAAGTGTCGGCTGTGCCCAGAGACCCCAGCAGATATGCTTCATGTAAGCTCACCTGGTAAAACAGACAACAGAAACTCTCGTGTTCATTATCTAAGCAGCTCTTAAACTCATTTCCCCTGGTATTTTCTATCAAATAGGAAGCAAGAAACTAAATGTCAACATTTCTAAATCTGCAACAATACGGGTTCACTTGTTCACCAACCAGCGGATCTGTTTACATTAGTTAGCATTCTCAGTTCCCTTGGAAGCATACAGCCTGTATTCATGTTTCCACCATCCACATTATCAGCTGATCTCAGCCAGCACGTAAAACCGGAAATACCATATGCATTCAACAAATCTGAACTGAAGTTCCCAATATTATACTATCTGGTTATAAAATGTGTTCATTGTAAATCTGGACTTATGTTTGAAATCTATTTTATTTATTTTGTTCAACATTTCATTCAATATTTGTTTACACTCATTTCGGTGTGAAGTGATCAGCAGATCACACAACTTACCGTAACTTACAGCAACCACTGTCAGATTGATGCCTTGAGTTGCCAGAGAATAGATACATATATCATAAATGCCATACTTAAAAGTCATATTTGTTGTAGTTTGACTTATGTGTCAATAAAGTTTTCACTTGCTATTGCAAGATTACATTGTCGTGAAACTTGACCCAGTTCATTTTGTGCGCTCTACTTGTCCAAGGACATGATAAAAAACGTATATAACTTGTCCGACATCTAAACCTTA